ATATATATTTTACACCTTCAGTTTTAGCTTTCAGTAACTTTTATTACAGGATATTCTGTCCCCAATAAACACTTATAATTTCAGCGTTGAAATGTCAAAGATAAGTAGAGCTAAGAGTAACGCCACACACAACAATACACGCTCTTTAGCTGATAATATTCGTTTTTTTGTCTGCAGGAGGGGCAAATGAAGGAAGAATGCGAAAACCCTTAAGAAGATAATTCCTAAATTTGTGGCTGTGTATGAGACACTTTAAGTCAAGACACGAGCTGATAACACTAGATTCCCGCGTCATCCTTGCATGACCTGACGCTAAAAGCGCTGCTACTGATGGTGTTCTTCTCGATAAGCGCGTACCCACGACACAAATAGTAGCGTAGACTTCTTTTACTTTCATTCATCTTTTTGAGGTTGCCAGTGATTCTACAGCTAGCACGAGGAAACAAGTTTACAAGTAGATCTGGATCTTTTCCAAGTACATGTAGTTGAAGACAACGATAAATTGTGATTAAATGAACTCTGCGGATATATTATATGGAATGTAATTGACATTTCTGTGTTTTTGAGACATGCACCACGTTGCTATTTTTTGCTTTCACGTTGCATTCATTGTTCGCAAATGAAAAGGAATTAATGTTAACATTCAAATCTATCTTGACAGGATGCACCACGCTGCTGTTTTCTGTTTCCACGTTGCATTCATTGTTCGCAAATGAAAAGGAACTAATGTGGATATCTAAATCTATCTTTGCAGATGCTGTTGGGTTAAAGAGGGTCCCTGTCATAAGGAAACAGGTGTCGTCTGTCGAAGGGCTGGCATTCCTGGACACTGAATCATTCTCTAACGTCCAGAAGTGTATACGTCTATAGATCTGGAGACACGCCGGCAGAAACGACAGCAACAGAGCTTGGTTCGCGCTGGTCCCAGCACGTTGACCACAACCAGACCGCTCTCTGGGTGACGTCACAGCCCCTGGAGCCCCCACCCTGAAGGTTCCGGTCGTCTACGGGGTCCCCTCCACTGGGTCCCGCCCTAGGATGTCCCCGTCTGCCAGCCTCGCCAGGCGCTTCCAGCAGAACTGGCTGGCCAAACACCCACAGGACTCTTGCCACACTGGCGGGAATCTGGACGACAGTCTCACTAGCTTGGGATGGCTGCAGAACCTCAAAGTGTCGGAGATCACACAGCCTCGGCAGGCCTCCAGTCCAGGGCTCGTTCTGGACAACAGGAATATCATCAAACAAGGTGAGGCGGAAATAATACTATATGTGTGTGTGTGTGT